TCCCTCCCTCCCTCCTTCCTTCCTTCCTTCCTTCCTTCCTTCCTTCCTTCCTTCCTTCCTTCCTTCCTCCCTTTCTTCCTTCCCTAGGAACCAGAACATTGTTGATTCCCCCTCCCCCATGCATCAAATTACGTGAGGCGCTAAACTAAACACCTGTGTGATGGGTTCCTGAAACGCTCCGGTTTTTGCGCCCGGCAGCCAACCCCGATTTTCACCCTTCCTGTCTCTCTCTAAGGCCATGAAAGCCAGCTCGGAAGCCACCGAATTGCTTCAGAACATCCGCCAAGCCAAAGAGAGGGCCGAGAAAGAGCTGGAGAAACTGCAGAACCGGGAGGACTCCAACGAAAGCATGAAAAAGAAATTGCTGGAAGCCGAGGTGAGCAAGTTGTCCACTTTCGGCGTGTCGCGTTCCAGTGCAACGGGGGTGGGGGGGAAATCTTGTATGGCGGCCTGGTTTTCTTAGCTTAAAGATGATTGCATTTGGGGGCTTTGAACCGAAGTTTAGATGAAGTCAGAAGTGAATTTGGAGAGCATGCAGCCAGCGGTTTTGTAGTCAGATAACAGATAATCTGAGTTGGAAGGGACCTTGTAAGTCATCTAGTCCAACCCCCACCCACCCAAGCAGGAAACCCTACACCATTTCTGACAAATGGCAGTCCAGTCTCTTCTTGAAAGCCTCCAGTGATGAAACTCCTACAATTTCCAAAGGCAACTTCTGTTCCATTGGTTGATTGTTCTCACTATCAGAAAGTTTCTCCTTATTTCCAAGTTAAATCTCTCCGTGTTCAGTTTCCATCCACTATTCCTTGTCTGGCCTTCGGGTGCCTTGGGAAATAGCTTGACCCACTCCTCCTCTCTGGGGCAGCCCCTCAAATATTGGAAGGCTGCTCTCCTGTCTCCCCTGGTCCTTCTCTTCCCTAGACTAGCCAGGCCCAGTTCCTGCAGTTGTTCGCCGTATGTTTTAGCCTCCAGTCCCCTCATCCTGGTTGCTCAGTCACCTGAGCTTGTAGCGGGAAGCCACAGCGCCTTGATTTGGAAGTGGCCAAATTTGTATGGTATGGCAGAGTGGTAATTAAAGAATCATTGCCATTTCCCCCCCCCTCTCCTTTTTTGTTGTTTTTCAAATGGTTCTGGCTTTCTAACTCCAGTTCAATCCTCCAAGCGTCAGATTTGGAAGCCATATTGAGATCCGATGCTCTCACGCTGCCACAATTGAGCCTGAGAAAGTGGGAAGGGTGAATTCGTCGGAGTATACATCTAGTTAGACAAAATAAAATTCTTTTGTTGGTTCAAGGTCACGGAGTGTGGCGCATAATAAAATGGGGGCCTTACTTTAGGACAGATGGGGATTGGACCATGTGATGTGGGGATGGGTAAGGGGGTGGGGTGGATTTGTAGTTTGGACTTCTGCAAGGAAGACTGAAACTGTCATGGCCCTGGTGGAGACGGACTCTGAGGGAGCGGAGGAACAGCCGACAGGGAGTGGAAGTGTGGCTCTGGAGGTGGTGGAGGAGGCTGGGGAAGGGCAGAGGCTGGTTGGGCAGTCAGAGGAGGACCCAGGCCCATCCCCCCTCCATCCTAGGGCACGCAGGGAGGAGAGGATAAGGGAACAACATGGTCAACGGGGGAGGAGAGGGCCTTGATCCTCTTCATGGGCTGCAGCTGTGACAACTGGATAAGAGGACAGACATGCGTATGGGCCAGTGCTGGAAACAAAGCATAGAAATATCTCTAGTTTATTGTTCCTCTCTGAGTTTGGCGTCCTTCCCAGCGTGTGTTCTGATATCTGTGGACGTCTTCAAGCCCTTATCTTGCCTGGTTTGTGTTGCTTTTTTCCTTCTTCTTGTAACTGTTTGTGGGGGAGTTTTTTGTCTTCCGTCAAGAATATTCGGAGCTTGGAAGCAAAGTGAAGGAATAAAAGGGGCTTCACCTGTTTTCTGTGACTGTGTTTGTTTTGTATCCCACCCTGGGTCATCACAGAAACTTTCAGATTTGGGATTCCACAGATGTGCCCGTTTGCTATCCAAATAAAGGAACCTACCGGTTGGACTGGAGGGTTGCTGGAAGGCTGACCCCAAGGTTCTGAATCTGGTCTTCTTGTGATAGCAAAACGTTGGGTGACTATCCGGATTGTTGTTGTTTTTCGTGGTGTGGGTTCACTCTGCCTTCTTGTCTGAACTTTTGTCTAGGAAAGGCGCCATTCTCTGGAAAACCAAGTGAAGCGCCTGGAGACGGTGGAGCGGCGAGAGAACCGCCTGAAAGAAGATATCCAGACAAAATCTCAGCAAATCCAGCAGATGGCTGATAAAATTCTGGTGGGTAGCAAGGGTAAAAAAAGGAAGGGAGTTTTCAAACGGAATGAGAGATGTTTGGTGGGAAGCGTTAAAGACGGAAAAAGAAGCCGAAGATTTCAAATTTATAACCTTCTGCAGGTAAAAGGTATCAAGGATTTCTTGTTAATAATGCCCTGGGTCCACGAGGCTGAAAAAGTGATGTGGTTGCTGTTTTAAAGAAGACACCAACCTTCGAACTTTCTCAGGGGTGTTTGAGAGCAACCCGTAAACCGTGAAAATCCGCCCCAATAAAAAGTATTTATACATTCATGGTTGTATGTGACAGTCTTGCCTCATATTAACTCTAGTTTGTTGACACAATAGGGCTTTTCAAAAGGCAACTGGACTTCCTTGGGTTTTTTTTCTTCTTGAAAACGTAATGAAGGAAAGAAGGAAGGGAGGGAGGGAGAGAAAGAAAGAAAGAAGGAAAGAAAAAGAAGGTAGGAAGAAAGGGAGGGAGGGAGAGAAAGAAAGACAGCAAAAGAGGGTAGGAAGGAAAGGAAAGAAGGAAGGAAAGAGAGAAAGAAGGAAGGGAGGAAATAGAAGGAAACAAGAAAGGAAAGAAAGAGGGAAGGAAGGGAAGAGAAAGAAGGAAGGAAAGAGAAAGAAGGAAGGAAGGAAATAGAAGGAAACAAGAAAGGAAAGAAAGAGGGAAGAAAAGGAAAGAGAGGGAAGGACAG